CAGTGCGGTCTGGATGAATCACAGTGACAAAACATTCTCTGTCATCTTGCCATCGGCAAACTTCAGACAAAAATGCCAGAAGGCTCGTGCTGCTTTCTTAGGCCATTCGGCAGGAACGACAGGATGAATGGCAATGTGGCTATTGCCTCGGCACGACAGGGGTGACGGGGGCATGCAAGTTGGACATCGACACCGATTTTCGCCAAGGCGCCGAATGACTGGAAGGCATCCCACATGTCATTATGCAGGAACCTTGCAGCCGGCCGTGCTCTCCTCGCAGCTCCAGCCGGCCTGAGCTCCCAAAAGCTGTTCTCCGGCCCCCTCTGCCCCCAAGATCCAAGTCTGCAACTGCCAGGACGAGGTTCGGCGAAACACTTTTTGACCACCACCTGCGCCCAAAGCATTGTCAGGCTCCTGACAGTACCTAAGGCCAGGGCCTCGTTGATGCTGATGAGGAGCCCTAGCCATAGCAAGATCCAGAGCTGTCCTCGGAGCTCGGCCCACAGCGCCTTTCGGTCTGGCCACGTGGTGGACGTCTGAGCCCATGGCGTGTGCCACGACAGATACAGAAATCAGCTATCACAAAGAACACCTTAGTGCGCGGGATTCTCAAAAATCGTGTTCCTGGATCAACCTAGGACCTAGCACGAGGCCAAGATCAAGAACTTCCGGCGTTTCGCTCGCGGCTTACGGAGGTACGCAATGCAGAGGTGGGCAGCTCTGTTCCACAGAGCTACCGGGGGGCTTGTACGTCTCAGATTCTCAGCCGCCCGGAAGGCCAGCGAGTTGCTGGGCGGATCCGGCCCCTTCCACGACCTGCCGGCGGAAAACCGCGCTGCTTTCCGTTGCGCCTTGCAGTCAGTCGGCCTCCCTTTTCAAGCCCTCCGCTGCCACGTACTTCCAGGTCTCCCCTTCACGCCGGTAGAGGGAGCATTCTTGGAGAAGAAGCACCTCGCACTATCCCGGTTCGAGCTGCACGTCCCCACGTCACGTGTGCCTTCCCTGTCTGGCCTTGGGAACATCGGAAACCTTCTCAGGCTCTGCAGCAGCTTCTATGGTCACGGCATAAAGGTCCTTCATGTTGCTTGCGCAAACTCAAGGTCCTGGGATCTCGTGATGCCATGGAGTCCTCCTCGCGCTGCTCGGACGCTGTCACATTCAAGCCAATGTACCGAAATCCCCGATTGTTGCGCACAATCTGCTTCTTCCACGCTTGTCTATCCTCCTGGGTTGTCGAAGCTGAAACAGATAAAAACCTGCATCAACTGCCATCTCCTGAAAGTCCACGTGCGTCGAGTGGGTCGTGTCCTCGATCTTGCAAGAGGGCAGAAACTAAATTCTGCGGCCCATGTGGTAACGCCATCGGAAACTCGGCGGGTTGGGGGCATCCCCCCGTCCCACTCTGGCCAATCATTCCGAGGCACTATCAAAAAGTCGTATTTCTTCATGGCAAGAGCAGAAAACCTTGCTCTCGCCATCTTTTCAGGCGTGTCAGCTGCGGTCAAATCCTCGAAACGTGTGCTAAACAACACTGCCCAAGTGAGAGGCTTTAGCTGTGCCATTCTGTGGCTGTCCTTGTGAACCTGGCGACAACACACCTTGTAGTGCTTGCCGGAGAGGCACGGGCAACGCGTCGACTGCGGGGATCTCATCCCCTCGTCTCCAAACCTGAACATCAAATCACATCGGCCTAGACGATGCCATGCTGACGTCAAAGACTCAACCAATCATCCTAGACCGAGAGCGGGAGAGCATGAAAAATGAAGACAAACCTTGAGATTGGGCAGTGTGAAATTGTTGGCGCGTGCAGTGCAGTGCCTGAGACACGAAGGTTGTGCGAAAGGAAGACTGGCGCGGTGCCGGCACAATCAGCTTCGCTGGTGAAAACTTGCAAACACACCTGACGGTATTCGTCCCGAATAAACCTCTTATGCACGGATTGTTTCCTGTTGTAGTGACATGCAGGCACATTCGCAGACATACATACATACATACATACATACATGCATGCATGCATGCATGCATGCATGCATGCATGCATGCATACATACACACGTACACACGTACACACGTACATACGTACACACGTACATACGTACATACATACATATGTACATACGTACATACATACATTCATGCATTCATTCATACATACATATATATATATATGGCTTCATACGAGTATAAGCATTATCAGCCCTTGCTT